ACATAAGTTCAGAATGCCCAGGTTTCAAGAAAGGCGAACATGGAATTTACTACGGGATATCTGAACGCAGTCTTACAGAGAGTTGCACATTGTAGCGGGTGAGTAGAAAGAGAAGTTGGAAACGATGTGCCGTACGCTGAATCCGCACCAATATACAACTTATATGACTGGAGATCCTGCAATGTGTTGAGTCAACTAGCTAGGAAGTTCTGCTCTTTTCTGCGCGCCGTTAACGCGGCACTTCTGCACCAATTCTGTGCTCCAAATAATACCCCTTACACTCCTCACACCGCACAAGTTTGATGCTTAGACGAAACAGCTTTTTAGGACAGCACTTGTATCTGCATTGCTTTCTATTTAGATGTTTTATTAATCAAGCCATCAACTTAACGGTGAAACAGAGTACAATCGAAGAATTTTTAACAAATATTGGCATTTTATGGGAAAACGAAACAAATAACCGTGCCTTGTATAGCCTGTTAGGGATAAGTGCAGCTTACAATCCAAGCAATTTACAATATTTACAACAAAGAAACAACAGTAAACAACTAGTCTTTACCATAAACCCTCTACTAAGCGATGGCGTCATTGACTGAAATCTCGAAATGGCATGCTCGCTACGGGATTCTTGTAATCACGAACAGGTGATGGCGGCCTGAACACCAAGGCATTATTGACAAAAAATTGTTTCAAATTCAAGCTTGTTTGAACGCCATAACACAGTTATGAATTTTTTATAAAAGGTGGCACTAAAGAATTCGGGGCCCACAAGCAACACAAGTATGTGCAAAATCGAGGCCTCTGGAAGTGTGGGAGGTCTGCAGCTAGAGTACGGTTGCGTGACATCTTGAACTTTTGCGTATGGATCCTGTTGCGAAACAATATAGTGCAACGGTCTACGGACAACTTGAACTCAATCCCTTTGAACGCGTCGATCTTCTCTTTTTCTCTGCACTCTCTCGTCCGCATGGCACTCTATGGCCGTTTCATCTTCGCGGATAGCAGGCGGCGGATCGCGCGACCTCGCAAACCTCGGCGCGCCGCGATCGTCGGAGCAATGGCGGGCCGCCAAGCGCTGGATTTACTTGGACCGCTCCAAAAGGCTTTTGTAAGGAGAAGGACTGGAATGTGTTTCAGTGTTTTTTTTCCTTTAAACTGCCGAATATTCTTAAGTAGCTAAGCTTGGTTTGGGACATAAAGAAAGGTCGAACCCAACTTAATGGCTTTACGTTTTCTAGTTTTCTTTACATTGCCTGGGTTGAAGCTTCTTTTCGTTTCCTTTTTTTAATGTTGCAATTAAGCAAGCACCCTTAGAAGTGCCATATTGCGTCGCTGAACTGCTCTCGCCAGACTTCGGCAAGAACAATTATAGTTCAACAAGGTCGAGTTCACAATCAACGGGGAAATTAAAAAAAGAAACAGTTAAGGAAAACTCACCCACGAACCAAAGAAACAACTAATCGATTTTAACATTCAATAGGTGTGTATGAAAACGTTATTGAACCTCATGTATTAAGCTCAACTCTCCACGCTGGTTTGCTTTTCTATTCCTGATTTAGTTGGCCTTATCCCGACCTAAAAAGAAGTGAAACCTCCTTACCTCATATTCCAGATCCGCTTATGTATAGAAAGTCGTAAGTTATCAGTTAGTAGCCATTATTAAGAGAAAAAGTCTCACAAGTGGATTTCCCTTCTTTATCAACATGCGAAGCTGTCCATAATAGTCGTTGGGTCCGCGCTCTCCTCGTATCGACGATGTAAGCCAGCGATTCGGCCAGAGCGTCGCTGCGATCGCGGCTGTCTGGTCGCGAAGTTCATGAACGCCTGTCTATGGTCGTTGTGACTTTTAGCTCACTCCAGCTTTTTCACCGGGCTATAAGTAGCTCACCCACCCCGCAGTCCCCTGCCCTTGAAAAATCCCGTTTCCTGGCTCCATACGTTTTTTGCACGTTTCGATGCTATGCAGCCACTGTCCTCTATCCTCTGCGTCACAGGGTTTCGTAACAGAGACCATGCACAAAACTGCTAATTGTGGAGCGAACCGTGTGCGGAGGACTGTGTGGCGCGTTTTTCGAAGGATAACACCAGACTCGCAGGATGTTTAGAGGGTGCAGAGAAAACAGAGAAGAAGTGCGTGCAGTTCAAAAGTTGTTCAGTTCAGTTGTTCGTAGATCCCTAGAGCACATTCGGCGCGATTTTGGTCTAGGGGTCTCCCGAAGGGTTACACTCATCATCCGGTGACTTGATCTGGGGGGGGCAAGGCGGGGGGGCGCACGCGGCTTTGCGGGGGCGCGTTCGCGGAGGCGCTGCGATGTGTTGCGAGCGCGGCGATCAGCTGTTTCCAGCCTATTTTAGCCATTTTTACCCTAGTTTACGCTGGAAACATGTGATCGCTGCTCTCGCAACACACCGCAGCCGCGTCGCGTCCCTTGCCGCAATAATCAGGTCACCGGATGACGACTGTAGGCATGTGCAAAGAAAGGCACCACTATTTCGGTCAGAGAAAGCACATGAGCGCAAGCCGCAAGCCAATCCCCCACTCACTAGCCTAAAATGTGTTGAGAACGCTGCCTGTCAGAGCTATACTAACCTGTATTTAGGACCGGCCGGAGCAGTAGTCGTGACCCATGTAACGGCGTTGTTAGGCGCAGCGTGTAGTGCCAAACCTGCATGAGCTGCGGTGCCAACAGGATGGATAGAACTGTGCTGTTTGAGCTGTAAACGAAGGCGCAGTTTAAAGTGAACATAAACATGTATTCGCAAATTGAAAAGCTGTAGTCAACTTCAGCAATTGCTATTACACGCTATTTTTCATTAGTAGGCCGTGCTTATCCCAACATTGGAGATTAGAAGGATGCGGACAAAAGGAAATATTGGTAATCGGGAGAAAGAAGACTGGGGAAAAAGGAGGTGCGCCAAAAGAGTAGATGAGGATTGACTGCCCCCTGCGATTACAGAGGTATTCACTCCTTCCGCGCGCACACTCTTATAAGCCTATTCCTCTAATTCGCCGACTGCGCATAACTCACTCCCCCAACTTCTGAACCTCCCAGTCTTCTTTCCTGCTCATTCTCTACAGGATAAAATGTGGCAGAAGAGTCCAGAAGGATTCAGAAACGAAGTTTCAGCAGCTCCGGCGAAGAGTTCGTTCGCAAAAGCTGCTTGAACACGTTTCTCTTCGTTTCTCAGTCGTAGGGGTGTTTTGGAGGAAGCGGGATTCTCATAGTTTCTCTACTATATACAATCTAACCCCACCCCACACAACGAGTTTTTTATTCCACAGAAAAAATGGAGGCAAGGATGTGCATGAAGCCGGATTTTTAGGATGAAAGGAGAGTGGGGGGAGGGCGCACCAGAGGTGAGTCATACTGAGTTCCCCAGTACTTCTAGTCGCCATGGGCAGTAGCCGCTCACCAACTATGGGGACACTACAACACCACACCGATGACCGAGAGCCTCCACGAAATCTTGAGATCTAAGAAGGAAAATAAATGACTCACCAACGGAAGGATGGTATTGAGACGCAGAAGCTAGAAGTTTCGATTGATCCAACTCGCCAGCTAAAAAAAGGGTTACTATAGGTTATTTTCTACAGCAGGCAACATTGGTTAGTCGGATCACTTAGGGACAAAGAGGGAATTAAACGATTCCTCATAAAATACGATAATGAAGAAATAAGATAAGATATTTAAATGAACAAAACGGGAAGGCACCAGCAACTACTAATAGCAACAAGTTCTAGTCTTGCGTTCCATACTGCTTCTGTATATAGTGATACTGACTTTTACAAAAGATGACTTGTAAACATTCCTCTTCGTTGCGGACGAGGGGAGTGTTAGGTATTGTTCACAGCCTGCGGCCCAGCTTTTCTCTGGTAACGCAGCGGTTCGGCGAAAAGCTTTTGATACGTATCGACGGGCGTTTCGCCAAAACGCGACGTTTTTCGCCAGCGAAATCGATACGCATTCATTGCTTTTCGCCCAACCGCGCGCGGTTGGCGACAACTAGCGGTTGCGATCTTCCGATCGAATGACATATACAGGGGGGGGCCAAAAAAAAGTCATTCCGGCCGAGTCACATATGAGCGAAGTTTTCGCAGCCCAGACAGAGGAAGTGGATATGAGTACCAGGGCGGAAGATACCCAAGATCTTCCTCTATAAGCTGGAGCAGGCTGCCGCCAATCGCCTTCATGTACGCCAAAATATGAAGTCATCTCCAGTCGCGGCCTGACTGGAGAACACCTTTGGAATTCACGTCGCCTCCAAACAGCTGCGAAACTTCTTGAATGAAATCATCCACAGATAGCTACCTGGAGGTCAGTACTCTTGATCTGCAAGACCCCCCACATCGAGCAGCTACGGCAACGTCGCTACGGTCCAGGACATCATCTTCACCCCATTCACCAAGGCGCGGGTTGATGGTATGGACCGGGGTACCTGGAAAGGGGAAGACCGATATTTTCTTTGTAGACCCCGACTGAAGGTGAGCGCTGGCGGTTACATCAAGTAACTCGAGAAGAATATCCCTACATGTGGTCGCCCGTACCTTCTTGGAGACCTTGTGCTGCTACAGGTTTGGGTGCCACCACATGGAATCAAAGGGTTTTGGAAAAACTCCCGCCTACTCGGAATGGAAGAACGTTGAGTACCTGGAAAAGATCTAGTATTTAAGCGGGGGTCCTGAACTAAACCCCCTCAATTACTCGGTTCGGGCGGAGCTCAACAGGGTGGTCTACAGTGGCGGAGAAATCAACGATCTCGCTCAACTCCGGTACCCACTCACTTTCGCGGCCGAATCTCTCGATGGCGCTCCTCCAGAAGGCTGTGGCGGAGTATCATTATAGTATTTAATGTGCTCTTTAATATGGTAGTAAAAATGTCCGATAAAATTTAATAAAGTGTAACTTATAGCGCCTTGAAAGTCATGGAGGCAAAATGACTTTTTTTTGGGCCCCCCCTGTATTTTGCTTTTCTCCCAACAGCCGTTTCGCGCCAAGGTAACAACTGGTGAAGAAGCCTTAGGCGGAAAGGGCTTGACGCGGAGAGGCGAAAGGCGGTTTGACGCAGAGCCCAACTGTCCCACCAGTTGTTGAAGGGTCACAGTATTGTATCATATCGTTCGTAGCAGTCGTTTTCCACTGGATTCTGTCGCTCCCCGCTTCAATAACTGGTGGGGAACAGGTATTGTGCCAAACGCATGCTGCCTGACACGCCGCTTCTTTCGCGACGAACAAGACTGTATCGCCTGATTGCGCATTCTTGCAGGTGATCTCTGCAGTCCAGAGCAAAAAAAAGTTCTCTGAAAACTACACAGGTTTTCGCTTACGTGTTTCATGTTACAATAGCCAAAAACAGTTTTATCAGCTGAAAGTCATCTAAGAATCCCGCACGTTCCAGTACTCTTGGTTTTTCTCCTTCCTTACTACACTGTTTGCCTTTCCCTTGGAATAAGGTAGGCCATTTTCTGTGCGTATGAAATAAATAAATAACTTTATCGAATTTTCAGGAAAGTGATGCAAAATCAGTAAAGGTAGGAACTCACTCTGTGCCTTTCTAAAGTTCTCTATTACACAAGGTAGAAATGTGTTGTCTTTCATGTGAACAGTCACAAGAGCCATTAGAAACTCCATAGGAAGAACGTCATCTAACAATTGCCCTAAATTAATATCAATAAGTATTAGAAACCTCATAAAAGTAAGCGTTTATGAACATATTCCACGACAACAACTCGAGCGTTTTGAGGTCCAAACATGAACTTCTACATGCTAGCTGACTCAGCATCCAAGAGAAGAGTGGGCAAAACCACAGAAGACGTCACAGATTATGTCTCAGGACTGGACGAGTATCACAGGTATGCTGGGTTATTGGTAAAAGTCGTACCATAGGCGGGATTTGAACCCATACCTCACGCTCGAAGGGAGTGCTCTCCATTATGCCACCACAGCCGCTTATACCCTCCCAGCTCAACTACTTTTGTATCGTCTTACCTCTTTAGTCTCATAGCACCCTGACTGGAAGAGTATCCCAAGGAACGAGAAAATTCTGAGCGAGGAAGAGACCAGAGTGAAATGAAGAGAGAATAGGAAGGCGAAAGAGAAAAAGGGTCGGTACTACATAGAACGAAGCAAGGTGTACATCTGCATTTACAAATATAGGACCTCTGGCATATCCAGTCCCCATATAAGGTATATCCCTACAGGTGGCCTATGTTTGCGTCATGATGCGCAGTGCTCTTGTCACTCACTGCACAGCTACGAATGTTTGACAACCTCCGAGACTGCACTGGCCCGCCCGTACAAGGGAGGTATTCTATCCGTAGGATAGCGCCGATAGGAAAGTGCCGTTAATGTTCCAAATATCGTTGGCAAAAATTACACAGTAATTAACTACCTAGAATCGAATCGACGTTAGCCGGCCCTGCCATGGCCGCTTCCGACTGAGCGAGTGCAACAACTTTAGCTTTTCTGAAACAGAACTATTGATTCACATCACAGTCTACTTTAAAAACAGTATGAATCAGACTAACTTTTCGAAAACTTCTTTTTCCCATTGGAGAAATTGCTGCACATACTTGTTATAGGACTCGGTACCAATCTGCCGACTGCAAGACAGAATCTCATAGTTGTGAAATAACATTCAAAACCAAAGCAGTGCTAGAAATGGCTACTTAAACTTTGCTACTGGTGTGCGAAAGAACATGAGAAGCCAAGCAATACGCATTTTAAGAGGAGGAGACTCCCGGGTGAGCCACTTAGCCGTACACAAACAGTTGTGGGCGGCGAAAGTGGCTGTAGAACCTGACGCAGACGAGAGTGCGCACACCCAAGCAGGAAATTTGTGCAATCAGGAGATTTAGTACAAGTTGTCTTACTAGTTTAGTTCGCTATTTTATTGAGACTTGGCGGGAAAGTTCTGATCATATTTATTTTTTGAACCCAAAAAATTCTCTTAATTTTCCTGAAAAGCGTAGACCGGTAATAATTTTGACACTTATACCATTTCAAAAGAATAGTCATGCTTTCTATTGGTATCGAAACCCTGGCTTTGACTCCTGCCTTCTTGCGTTACTCGTGGCATATGAACAACCCATGTTATCGCTAGCCTTTGCAGCCGACACCTGCCAATTGCTGCCCTATGCTTGCCTCAACTCTTCTTCCTACACGGCTCTGGCGCCCCGCATGTTACAGCTGTCTCACGCGAGGAGAGCCGAAATAAACCGGAGGCTGCAGCATGGACACATTGTCATAGGCAGTCATCTGAACAATCTTAACACGCACGCTGGAAACTCTTGACAGAGCGGGAGCCCTACGGGATGGGAGGGACCAAACAATGGACGAAGTGATGTTTGGGAGTAGCCTTGTGATCTACCAGCTTATGCAGAACTAGGCTTGTGGCCGGGAAACCTACTGAGTGATACAACGCAAAGCCTGTCTCATCGGTTAATCGCGGTAACGACAAAGCAGCTAACAGATCGATGAAAGCGACTATCGTCCAAGCAGAGGAGATTCCTGAACGCTCCGTCGTTCACGGCTGGCTGCAGGGCACACCGGCACGATACAGACAGTTCGAAGCCGTACTTCATGCAATGGAGCATGGATGCTCTGACCCTTCAAGATGATAGTCCAGACAATTGCTCCTTTACATGGCTAGCTAGTGCAGCACAATCAGTGCAGATGCAGGCACCTGAATCATCTCACCGGTGCCAGCGCCGAGAAAACCTCGATATGACGCCAAGTCAAAGTGAGATGATGTCCAAATTGCGCTCGTACCAGCCTCCATTGCTGAAGCCGATGCACTCACGAGTTTCTGCTGCGGAAAACTGGCAGGGAGTTTCCGCCAATGACATTTGCTGTAATAATTTTGATCCATCATCACGTACGCCTCATCTATAAAAAAGCAAAGCCTTGGTTTGAAAAAAATTGACAGAACTTTACCCGCCCACCTAATAATTTACCGGCTTCCAACACTAATCTCGACGCTGCGCTTTACCGCTGGTCATTGAAGAATTCATTGCAAATAATAGCAAAGTCAAATTGAAGGCATAATCCGAATCACAACGCGGAATTGGTGCTGCCATAAACAGAGATCCCAAATCTTTCAAAAAACTCCTTCAACAGAACAGCGCATCTACGACTAACATTCGCTCGTGCTTACAGCTTTTGGCACTGCTGAACTTAAACCAATCCCAAATATTCCACAAAATCGTCCCAAGTATTTGGTGCCGAACACAACTATGACAATCGCGTTTCCAAAAAACTTGTCTCCAGGATCAGTTGATATCTCACATATCTCTCATGGATCGTTCACACCAGCTTCAACTACGAACCAGCTAAGCGCTGTCCATAAATTTCTAATCCACAGCAGGTAATTACGCTTTTGAACACTAGTAGTAAGTAGTCTGCACAGGGAGTAAGGATGAAGGAAAGGGAAGGGTACACGTGGCAGCGCAGCCTACTGCGCTTGTCGGTACCCTTCCCCTGAGATAGTGGTCCCTTCCTCTCTGCAGGGCTCAATTAGGTCTTGTCGAACGATTCTCAGCGTTTTGACGTGTTTCATTTTAAACGCATCATAACTTTCTTAAAATATGCTCAATCGATTCAATCGAAACAAGCACCGCTTCGTGATACAGCACACCGTTTTGCCACTGTATGATAACGAGTTTGAGAAATCCCCATCGCAAAGGAGAAAAAACTGGGTGGTCGAGAATCTACGAAATCCACGAAGGCTTTTTTGCCTGGTCCTAATTGATGAAGTATTTTCCAGCAAGGAAGTTTTGAAAATGTTTGAAAAGGTGATAGTCGGTTGGTGAAAGGTCTGGAGAATATGCGGTGAGGTAGAACTTCAACACCCAATTCGTTCAATTTATGGATAGTGATTTGTGAAACGTGTGGGCGGGCGTTGTCATGCAGAAGAATCGGACCTTTCTGTTGACAAGGCTGGCCTGGGCAGCTGGATTGCACATTTTCGGAACTACCTTCGTCGATTTCTTTCAATCAGTAGACTCTGCTGTGCTGGTCGGCCTTGTAGACAGGGAAAACAGTTATATGCGGACACACAGCCCATGAGCTAACCACAATTCGTGATCCAATAAATTTTTTTGTCGTGAGGATTCGGCTTTGGAAATTGCCTCAGGGGTCCGCCGGCATCCAACCACTGTCCGAAACGTCTCCTGTTATCATACATGATCTCCTTTTCATCACACGTGACAATTCGGTCCAAAAGCGGGTCGTTCTGTTGTGCAAAAGCAGTGAAGAAGAAACCTCGAGACGTGCCAATTTCTGCCCCATCACCAAAGTTGTGGGCGCACCCACTTTGTCGGAGTTTTTTCACCTTCCAATGCTTTTAGCGCATCCGCAAACAGGGCATCCTGACCCAGCGCCGTAGCTTTCTTTTCTGCAATCTTTTGAACTGTTTGGGATGGGTCACCCTCCACAAATGCCTTCAAATAATCGTCAGGCATTGCTTTAGGTCGACCGCTACGAGGTTCATCTTCGAGGCTGAAATCTCCAGAACGAAATTTGTCGAACCATTGTCGCACGGTGCTTTCTCCAACATCTGTGTCCCACACCTGTTTTAATGCGAGCGTCTCGACGGCGAGATTACGCCCATTTTGATGAGTTGAAGAAGATCATCGTCGACGTTGCTCTTTGACATGCTGAAAAACTCTTGAAAAAAGGGGTCAATCAAGCAATGGTGAAACGGCAATTATACCATCAGATAGCGCAAAGAATTCTCTTCAGGATGTACTACTGAGACGCAAGGGAGAATGAGTTTTTAATCAGCAATGAATGTACAAAAAATAGTAACACAAAACGCTGAGAACTTTCCGGACAACCTAATAACAAAGAGGCGGATCACTGAAGCAGGCAACCAGAAAGGGAAAGGGCAACCAGGTATGTCTCGTGTGACGTGTTTCTCTAATTGTCCAAGCACACCGTTCGGCCCGAAAGAGTCAGAAGTCCACGCTATCCGCGGTAGGGTCAAAGCAGGTATGGTGCCGTCGCCAATAACGCGGGCAGTTAGCTATTTAGAGCCAAAAAATCACATATTTCTGATTAGGTGACCGAATAACCCCGATTTGCAGAACTACACCGAATCTGATGAGAAACATGTTGGCGAAAGCGCAAAATATAAATGGGATATTCGTAAACGGGGCATCGAATCACCCCGCCATAGTTACAGCAAGAAAAACTGTGAGTTTTGGGGTAGTAGCAGTAGTAGTTGAATAGTTTCCCGTTTCATAATTTCTTAATACTGCGCAGTATCAGAGGCAGAGGATACTAAAGTACTAAGAGCAGAATGTTTCAAAGGTTTTGCCTCAATACTTACGAACTAAGGATACCGGGATGGGCGACCTCTTGGTTTTTTGGGTAGGAATTAGATCCCCATTTCGTAGAAGCATCCTTTCAAATCAATATGCGTGGTACTCTCCCTATACCACAACGAAAGGTAAAAATATTGCAGTTTTAAATTCTGAAAAATGGGAGCTTTTGCAGCTAAATGCCCCTCCCCCATCTAAATTCGTCAGGAGCTTTGCAGCAAAATCCCCCACCATCGAAACTTGAGAGCTGGGTTCAACGCACAAGGTTTTCAAATTTTCAACAAGAAATCCTCTTTAGAGAGTATATTACCATCGCTGCTTTACTTAACATGAATTAGCACTTCACAAATGGTTTTGGAAACTTACAAGACTATAATCAAAAAATTACTGGGATTACGAGCGGTTTAGTTTTAGTCTAGGCAAAATTCTAAAAAAATACCTGTTATCAATTTTCCATTTCTCGAATTTCGCCTTCTGCTCAGCATACTGACGCTCCATAGAGGATATGACTTCTGCATTACTCTGAAATCCAAAGAAATACAATCACTGCAAAACCAAGTCGAAATGATCAAAATTGAATGGTTTAAGACACGCGAAATAACCTGTGCAGTAGCCATATCGATGGTGAACACTCGTTGATGAGGAACCGAAATTGAAAGCACAAATGTAAAAACTTTTGAGAGCTCCACTATCTTTTTCTACCGCAGAACTTCTAACGCACCATTTCTACCGCGGTCGCGTCGCGGTCTCCGCAATAGAGCAGGTCAGTCACACCGAAGGTGTTACTAACTGCTGAACATTTTATATTCCACCACGGCGTACAGACCGTAAATAAACCGCTAAAAGCTCAAGATTATTCTCCGTCTTTTGTCTTCTGAAATCAGAGCTCCAGCGGGCCCTGTTTAACTTTACGAGCATAAGCTTGAAGCGTAAGTGTTCAAAAGGATACTATGACTTGTGTCCCAAGTGACTAGCTAAGTGGGAAGACGGTTTTCAGGGATGTTATTTAAAAATCGTAACGCCGCTGTGCGTCGCGGTCGCGTCACGGCGTCAGCGGAGCGCGCCGGCAGTAAATGGAATTATGCTCTAGGTCAGGCGGGGATTCTAGCGTGTTCTCCCTTATGTAAGAAAAGAGACACTCGTTTTCTGTTCACCGAGTGGATTACCAGTACCTCGATTTAACTTTTCATAAGCGATAGATGAGATTATTGCTTTCAGGTAATTGAACTGAACGGACCACAACACAGGGTAGAAAACTGGCTTCCGTTGCGTGGATT